TTATTTCTGTTTATCTTATTTTAACTGATTGTTTGATTTTACAATTTTGAATGCATGATAATATACTGGAATTGGTAAGATGATTTAGTTGTGTTTCTTTGATGCATGTATTGCTTGTTTTGTGTGATTTACAATTAAATTATGAAACTAAAAATTAAATGTAAATAGAAAATTATTTGATTTAGTGAATGGATGAATGATAGCCTTATTAGATTTTCTAGGAGATGGTGGATGAACTGGGTATATAAGGAACCCTACCGTGAACATTGTCTCATACCGAACGGGGTATCGAGAATTGATATTTTGATGCTCATACCGAATGGGGTATAAGGACGGCTCGTTTCACGCTCATACCAGACGAGATATTGAGAGATGGTTTTTTTGACACTCATATCGGATGGGGTATGGGGACGGTCCATTTCACTCTCATACTAGACGAGGTATTGATGGATGATATTTTTGGCGCTCATACCGGATGGGGTATGGGGATGGCAGGTTAGTTGACAATGTTAAATAAGGGAGACAGTCCATTTCACTCTCATACTGGACGGGGTATTGAGGGATGATATTTTTGGCGCTCATATCGGATGAGGTATAAGGATGGCAAGTTAGTTGACAATATTAAATAAGGATTCACGTGTAGTGAGGACATTCTTATGGACCCCAATGGATATCAGTAGGAAGATAAAAAGAGAGAGTTGTTATTCTGGCTAATTAAAAATGAGATTATGATGTTGTTTGTATTATTACCTCTATAGGTTGGTTTTAAAAATCTTGCTACGATAAGTATGTAATAAATAATTTTATTTATGATAAATGAATTTATTTAAATTAAGAGCTCCACTAGTTCTTTTTATAATTTTTACCAACCTTCATTTCTGTATCGGTGAGTAGTGTGACATTCTTACTGGACTAATGTAACTCACTCTTTCATTAACCATTTCAGATCAAGAGGACCAAGATCCAGATCCTGATTCACAAAATGGTCGTGAATAGGATGTCTAGTTGTTTATTTTTTATTTATTTCTTTGATTTTTCGTTTGTTCTTTTAGAAGGGTCATTCTCGTAACCCTATTGAGTATTCTGAATTGTTTAGCAGAACAAGAGATTTAGGTTAGTGACTTAGGCTCCTCCTTAGATTCCAACAATAGGACGCGGTAGGACTTGCCAACAGTGTGACAAGGATCATGGTGACCGATCCTATTATCGTCTCAACAATACTTACTACATATGTGAGAGTGCCCAACATTACGCGAGGGAGTGCCCGAAGAATCATAACCAGGTCTGACCTCCTATCTAGGGTAGGACTTACAACCTCACTCAGTAAGATGTAGAAGGTAACCTAGACGTGATATAGGATACACACACTATCTGTATTCATCTTGCACATATTTTGATTGGTACTGGTGTCTAACGAATATTTATTTTACATACTTTTGTACCAAACTTGAATGTATTACTTGAAATAATTAATTCTGTGTTGTTTGTGTCTACTCTTGGGAGTAGAACACTACTGAGTGAGGTTATATACAAAACATGTATCATAGATATAGCAGATAGAAAATTGAGTGTGAACCTAATAGAGATTGATACGGAGGACTTTGATATAATCTTAGTAATGAACTGGCTAGCGGCGTATCACGCCACTGTAGATTGTTTTCATAAGAAACTTGTATTCAACATTTTTAATGAAGAATCATTTACAAATTAATAAAATTCCTTAGATATTATTCCCTTATGATAATTTTTCTATTTTTAAATACTTTAATTTGACTGTTTTCTCTAACTAGGCAAACTTAAGAAAAAAATTTGTATTCGATAGATTTTGATAGTACGAGACTTCCCGGATGTATTTCTGGATGAACTACTCGGATCACTAGTGGCAGAAAAGTTAAATTCACCATAGATTTTCAGCCGGGCACCCAACCTATTTCAGTTGTCCCTTACTGCATGAGTTGTGTTAAAATGGATGAGCTAAGAAAATAGATCAATGAATTATAGGATAGTGGATTTATCCGATATAGTGTATCCCCTTGGGGTGCTAAAGTCACATTTGTAAGAAAGGAGAAAGAGACATTAAGGTTATGTATCGACTATAGAGAACTGAACAGGGTCACAATCAAGAACAAGTACCCCCTTCCCAAGATCGATGACCTTTTTGATCAGTTGTAGGGTGTTGGAACTCCAAAATTGGCTAAAATGAGTTTTGGACACCGATTTTGGATTTCTGGGATATTTTTAGGTATATAACGAGTGTTTTAGATTATACAGAAAAAATTCAAAAAATTTAGTACCCGATAGGAGGCGTAGTAGACAGGTCAACATCTCGAAACACCGATCTGGGTAAGGATCCTTCACCCTATTCTCCATTACGGTAAATTGAGGCTCAACGATATACAATTTTATGTTTTTTTATGAAAAATTAAAAAACTTTAAAAAAATAATTACAGGTTACTAGTAGAGCCAAAACTGATTAGTTCACAACTATTTTGATTTCTTGTTTATTTTTCTATATTGTTCTCCTTGCTTGATTGATCCACTATATGACTAAAATTATTATTTTTAAATTATTTTTTTTCATTTACTGATTGTCTGATTGTGGTCCTTATCTAATTCATTAATTTGAAATAAAGGCCTCAATTAT